TTTTTTCCTAATGCACAACGTGAAAGTGGTTTTACTGCACGTGTGGGCGCACATGCAGACTGCACAAATATACATGCAGCTGCAGGTTTGTTTTTGGACTGACTTGGCTCTTAGCTGGTGCCCCTGGGTTCAAGTTTGCCTGTGTGCTCCCAGCCCAGCTGATACCTGCTGCCTCCCTGTCCTCTTTTATGCCCTGAGCGGTCCCCTTTCCTTCTGCACGGACTCTCTTTGGCTCTATTGACTTGACTTAAGGTGATAGCATTTTTGCTAGTGTCACTGAGTGAGGGTGTTGGCAGGGAAGTCTGTGACATGTCATTGCTATCCTTGGGTTTCCTGCTGACTGGTCTTAGAATGTAGTCCCATTAGAGTGGGGTGGCTTGCTGGGGGTTTGGCATTACATGTATAGATGTGGGAGAGAGGGACACACAGCTATCACCAATGAGCTTTGAACCCTTTCTTTGCCTCAGGGGCACAAGAGGAAAAACTGGAAGGTTCGTCGCTTTGTTCTGAGGAAGGATCCAGCTTTCCTGCATTACTACGACCCTACCAAAGTGAGTGTGCATGCTGGCTCCATGCTGGTCCCATGTTGTGATGCCCCCAGACACTCCTCTCCTGGTACAGCGGGCAGCTGGCTGGACATGCTGCCTTCCCATGGCACGCGGCATAACTTGTGCTGCACCAGACCAGGCCTTTCCTCCCACTGTCCAAGCTGCTCTGCCCTGTCATCACATAGGTGCCTGCTTCTCAAACGGTTTCTTCTATGCCTAATCCCCCACTTCCCATGAGAGGGCATCTTTATCATTTTCAAAGAAAAGCATTTCTTGATTTTCCCCAAAGCCTGTTTTGTGAATAGGAAGGATGAGGTAGGCTGACAGAGACTCCTACTGGCACTTCCCAGCCTCTCCACACTTTCCATTCAAAGATCCCGTTAATTCTGCCTCCCTCCACTTTTCCCCACCTATGTTTTGAAAAGTTTCTTTCACCATATATTTAAGCCATAATTTGCTAATTTGCTTTTTAAAAAACTTTGATGGCAAAGTTTAAAAAAAATATTTTTCTGTTTCTGATACTAGGTATTGACACATGCTGAGTGGATCTAATTCCAGTTAAAAGAAAAGAAAAATGGCCCTTTAGTTAGCTGTTCAGCCTTGTCTTGGGAGATGCATGACTTTCAGTAGTTTTTGTCGAAACAGTGAAGAGTGGGCAGTTCTTTCCTCACTGAGCTTCAGTCAGGAACTCCTACCCTAAGCTGAGAGCAGCTGAAGGAACCTTGCCAGGACCCTTCCAGGCCACAGTGGGGCCCAGGGCCAGGGAGGGATGTGGCAGGAGGAGCCTCCAGAAAGCTCGGGTTGACCTCTCCCATGGGTCATGGTGGCCTGGCTACAGGAGTTCAAACTCCTTCCTTCCTGGCTACCTCAAATCCTGTTTGAAGCAAGAAAAAAAAAAGAAATTAAAAAACACTTTAGTTTTGTATTTAACTCTTAACACAGTCCAGCCTAATCTACTTCCTTTGTGCCCTTGATGAGTCTGCTGTCTCGGCTTTTAAAATAGGAAACTGAGAAAATATATGTACACATATGTGCCTATGTACACATATCTGTAAGTACATATATGTGTAAATATATGTATATACATATATATGTGCACATGCACAAATGCTCACATATGTACGCAGATGGAAACAGTGCAGAAAAGATTACTCAAGACAGGCGTGAAAAGGAAATACAAGAATTGTCAAATTTCAGGGCTGCAGGTACAAGATAAGGAACCATCTCAAAAGTATTCTGCAGTTAATTTGTTCCCCACTTTACTCCCATTCCTTCTGCTGTTTGGGCTGAATGCCCCTCTCCTGCCCTGGGACCTACTGTGCTATGCAGGCCGAATTCACACCTCCTGTCCTCCCCGAGACTGCCCTTGAACCCTCCAGGCTGGGGCAGATCTCTTCCTTCTCTGAACTTTCCTCCCGTTGGCATTTAATAGTAAAAATATTTCCGGTATTTTAATTTTTTTTTTTTTTTTTTTTTTTTGAGACGGAGTTTCGTTCTTGTTGCCCAGGCTGGAGTGCAATGGCACGATCTCGGCTCACCGCAACCTCCGCCTCCTGGGTTCAGGCAATTCTGCTGCCTCAGCCTCCTGAGTAGCTGGGATTACAGGCACGTGCCACCATGCCCAGCTAATTTTTTTTGTATTTTTAGTAGAGACGGGGTTTCACCATGTTGACCAGGATGGTCTCGATTTCTTGACCTCGTGATCCACTTGCCTCAACCTCCCAAAGTGCTGGGATTACAGGCTTGAGCCACTGCGCCCGGCCTTTCCAGTATTTTATTTAACCATTTTATTTTTGCCCTACCTCTCGCTGGACCCAACATGCAGTATGAAGTTGATTATTGATTAATTGAAGGGTTCCTGGGGCCTGAGGCATGTGCTGTGTAAAATTGCTCTGAATGGTCCAGGGATACCACAAATCACTGTTTTGTATCACAGAGTTTCATGCTATGCACATGCTAGACCTGTTTGACAATGTCCAATGTGCAGGAATCTATCAACTTTGCAGAAATGATTACTATAGCTGGGTGTGGTGGCTCATGCCTGTAATCCCAGCAATTTGGGAAGCTGAGGAGGGCAGATCCCTTGAGGTCAGGAGTTCGAGACCAGCCTGGCCAACGTGGTGAAATCCCGTCTCTACTAAAAATACAAAGCCAGCTGTGGTGGCATGTGCTTGTAATTTCAGTTCCTCGGGAGGCTGAGGCGAGAGAATCGCTTGACCCTGGGAGGCAGAGGTTGTAGTAAGCTGAGATCGTGCCACTGCACTCCAGCCTAAGTGACAGAGTGAGGCTTCGTCTCAAAACAATAAAAAAAAAAATTACTATAAATATATATTTTTAATTGGTTTGTAAGATGCACACATGGGTTAAGAAGCCAGTGGATGCTTTTCCAGGTAGCATGTTGGATCAGAGGCTCTGTTTGAGATATCTCCAGGAATGAAAAGCAGATTTGCAAGTCTCCAAGACTGGTAACTGCAACATTGGTGGGAACTACTGCTACGGGCTGTGAAAGGAAGAGGCCCAAGCTTCCTTACTGATGCATGCAGCTTTGACCATGTGATGTCCAAGTTTGGCTTCATCTTTTGTTACAAATGATTTGTGCTGAGTTCTTCAGCTGGCCTGAGTTGTAGGGGGAGTACAACTCTATCCTTTTGTGCACTCACAGATTCCTAACTGGGTCTCCTTTCTTCTGCAGGAAGAGAACAGGCCAGTGGGTGGGTTTTCTCTGCGTGGTTCACTTGTGTCTGCTCTGGAGGATAATGGTGTTCCCACTGGTAAGATGCAACTTCATCCCCGGCCTGAAGATCTCAGGGGCCTCCCTCCTGCACCTCAATAATGCCCTACTGATGGAACAACAGCTTTGGGAGCTAAGCAGGGCTTTCTCAATGAGACAGAGTGGTGTGAGTTTTGAAGTGAATTTCAGAATTGAACAAAGGATATGTTCTTGGTGTTTTTAAGAATACAGTTAAGTAATCCTTATGTTAATAATCTTTGCCCTCAGTTTCTGTGCTGATGGCCCACAAGCTTCTGCCTAAAAATAATAGCTGAGGCTTACACAGTGCTTTAGGATTAACAACATCCTTTAATATCTATCATAACACTAATTTCACAATAGCCAGCCATAGTAAGAAGATATTATTCCCATCTTATGGCTGTGGAATTGGGGTTCCAAAAAGTTAAACAATTTAAAATCAAACTCCAAATTCTGTGCTTGCTTTTAACATAAACATACTGGATTCTTTGGTGTAAATGAAGTGGTAGATCTATGGCATGCTACCATCTTCAGCATAGGAGCAGGCAAGGGCTAGCAGTAATATCCAGACATAACCATTGGCAGGCCTTAGGACACTGGTGAGGGACAGGAAATGGGAGGAAAGGGGATATCATCTGATGGGATTCTCTAACTGTATACCTTTTATTTAAGAAATACATCATTGTATGGTTTTGTCCATGTCTCATGACTTTCTGCTGGTTCATTGTGAAAGCAGGCATCCTATTCAATCACTGATTTTTTTTTCTTTTATTCTGCCTAGGGGTTAAAGGGAATGTCCAGGGAAACCTCTTCAAAGTGATTACTAAGGATGACAAACACTATTACATTCAGGCCAGCAGCAAGGTTGAGCGAGTCGAGTGGATTGAAGCTATCAAAAAACTAACATGACAAGGACCTGAGGGAACCAGGATTCTTCCCTCCTACCAGATGACACAGACAGGATTTCCTGGAGAATGGGAGTGTGTTAAGACTTTTGACTTCTTTGTACGTTTTGTACTTCTTTGGAAGGTGAATGCTGAAGAGTTCCTCAGATTACAAACAGCAGTGGTACCATTTCCTTCCCCATCTTCACGTTACCAACCTGGAAAGGCTAGAACAGCCATTAGGTGTCAGCATCTTGAGTTTTGCCCAGCATCACAAACAGCCATTCCCTTGGGCATGAAAATAGGTTCTCTTTGTTGGAACAATTATACTGGCCATGCCATAATGCTGAATAAAACTCTTCTTATGCAGTTCTCTCTTAACTTCTTAGGAATTAGTAAAAACTGACTTTTGTTTCTGGTTATCAGAATCCTATACAAAGTTTTATAGTTTTGAAGCATCTCTGTCCCTAAGATATACTTCATCTTAAAGTGGGGATGGTGGCAAAACTTTGAACATTCAGAGAATATTGTTTTGCTTTGGAAAACAAGCCTGAATAAATATTATATATTACAGAAGTCATGCACTCTGTCAGAGAACTTAATCACATATACAAAAAATACATACATAGCTTTTCCATGAAAAATGGGCATTTGGAGATGGAGAGTAAGACAGAGAAAGGACAGAGAAAGATGTAAATAGGGAAGACAAATGAAGGCATTGAATTTTGGTTTTAAAATGAACATTAGCTGAGACAAATGGTACCAAGAAATTTCACCAGTTGGGAGGTTAATCTATAGTGAAAAGTCTGTATCATACAATACTTTTAAAGAACATTTTTATTACTTTCAAGTTTGTACAGTAGCTGGCACAAGCTATTGCCAGCATTCTTGCCAAGTACAAATGCTTGGACCTCCCCTTAATCAACAGATAAAATACATAACTTACATTTAAGGGGAGTGGATTACTTCAAAGTGCTTAAGTAAAAATTTGCCCTCTTAGTTTGAACTGTCTCTTGTTAATTGTGTCTAAAACACTGACCTGAATGAGAAATCCCAAGCTAATGTTTTATTTATTCCTTACATGGTAAGAGACTACCTTTTAAAGTACCATTTTCCATTTGGCATTTCACCAAGGTCTAATGTTCCTGGAATTAGTTTGCTTTGCCTTTTGAATATTGACAGGTGTTTATCTGAATTAAACATTTGGCTCGATGACTTCCTGCATCAAAATTGGCACAAGTGTACCTCACTTTGTATCAGAGCTATCAGGATCTCTATGGCTTGGGAAGTAGATGACCATTACCTTAGGGCAAATCAATGAACAAGTCTCAGCAAGGTACTGGCACCTACATTTTTAAATACTCTCTAGCTATTTTGTTCTTGGTGTAAAAGTAGAATAGCTGGAGTATGGCAGCTGAGGAATGTTCTGCTTAGCATGATGCAGTGCTTAGCATGTCTCTATGGGTCCGTCTTTGAACATTATCCACTTCAGAACTGGTTTGTCTTGTTTTGCTCTAAAACTAATAATGAAAAATGATTTGGGCGGGGCATGCTGGCTCACACCCTCATGGAGGCAGAGGTGGGAGGATAGCTTGAGCCCGGGATTTCAAGACCTGCCCAGGCAATGTAACATCACCATTTACCAGGGAAAAAAAAAAAAAAGTAAAAAAAGTGGTTTTGATGTTCAATTTCCTCCTGGCCATTGATTTTCAATTAACTTATGCACAAACAAGACCCAAACTATCGATAATTTTCGGCTATGAGTTGATAGCCATTTGACCTCAATGAAAGGTAGAGTGGGGAATAGACGAAATTGTATTTTAAACAAACTTTGATGGGAGATTCAAGATTTTTGGTTTTTTTTTTTTTTTTTGAGACAGGGTCTTGCCTTGTCACCCATGCTGGAGTGCACTGGAGTGATCACAGCTCACTGCAGTCTAAACCTCTTGGCCTCAAGTGATCCTCCTGCCTTGGCTCCTTAAGTGCCGGGGTTGCAGGTATGAGCCACCATACCTGGCAGAGATTCAAGATTTGGATAAACTGTTCACTTCTTTGCCAAGCCTATTCTTCAACTTATTCAGAGCTGGGTGTGCAACTTGTCCCATATGTATCTTGTCCCTGCTGTCTTTTAGGTTAGCAAGGTGTATGCATGCTTTAAGTTTTGTTCTTTTTCTCATGGTATCAGTGAAATATTGATCTGTTCTCTAGCTAGGGTCAATTTATAAAATTGTCATGGAACTAAGCAAAAGGCCCACAAAGAATAAAAATCACTTACCATAGAATCCACCAGTATTTTTCAAGTTATGGCTTTTGAAGTATAACAAATTTCAGTAAACAAAATCAAAAGAAAAAAATTCCTCTGTGTACAACAAAGGAGCACCTGTTATATTTTGAATGCATTCTTCATGTTACCACCTTTATAAACTTGTTTTTTTGATGCTTCAACAGACAGAAGTGAAAATTATGTGTCAATCTTAAGTACATCAAGGTTTTCCTCTACATAGTCCTAATGCAAAATGCTGGCTGGCAATCAGGGCTCTTAGAAACAGCCTTCATAAGTTAAACTTTTGGATTTCGAAAGCTAGTACAGACTGCTGTATTTAACAAAAGGAACAAACCTTCATAAATGATACAAACTATCTGCCCAACACACTCTTCTATTTTCCAGGCCTTTTAATATTGAGTGAAGTCTAATCTTGGACTGACTATGGTGGGTTACGTCTAATCTAAGTATTTTAATAGCTATCTAGGGATAATGAATAAAATCAAATACAACTGGTACCTCAAGTATCGTAAGAGAATAAATTTATGAAGACAAGCAGATTGAAGCAACTCAAGATTTTCTACACCTGATTAAATAATGTGTTACCTATGAAACTTATGTACAAATTAGTTCTTGAAGACAGAAGTAAACACGTGGGAAAAACAAAAAACAAAACAAAACAAAACACCAGTAAGTGTTCAAACAGATCCCTGTTTTGTTTTAAAGAACAAGAGCTCTAAGTGGCACCTAGTGGGTATTTTATGAGGAGCAAAAATAAAAAACTGGATGATACTCCGACTAAATAAAAAATGCAGCTGCTTTTTACATTTTAAAAACATATTTACCACCCTGAATTATAAACTCAAGGCAAGTAGCTTATTATACCAATAAGGACGTGGTGTGATAAATTCTCTCATACAAGTTGTTATCAATCTCAAATAGATAAAAGGCACAGAACCAATCTAATTCTTTCATTGCATTTTAAGGCTTTGTCCCCGCTAAGGGCCAACTTTCACTGTGGTTAAGGTTAAGTTTATTTTCTCTAAACTCTTTTCAAAGGATCTGTTATAGAGATCCTTTATTCACCTGCTCTTAGTTGCACATCAACACTAAAATGGAAGATAATAGAATTAGGGTCTTAGTACTCAGAATGCTTTTAACTGGTGACAAGAAGGAAGAAGCCTATAGTTAAATATCCCAGAAATTTATTTGATGTTTGCTTGAATACATTTTATGTAGAAAGATTGGGATTGTTTGCTTTGGATGCCCCTGGTAAATCTCAAGAGGCATTGAACTAGAAAGGGGTGCCAATATGGAGACATCAGAAATGGAAATCACAAGCCCAATTTTAGAACTATTCTTAAAGATTTGTCTCTAGTGAAATGAGGCCACTCCCTTAAAAATGCTCAAAGTGTTAGAGCTACTGTGTGAAAACAGCTGACATTTAGGAGGGCATTTCATGTTCTGATCTGTTAGAACGTTTAAATACTTGGAAATAAAAAATATTCAGCTTTGAAGTTTTCAATACTGGAAAACTTTCAAGTCTAGAATTTCAGCCAGGAAGGGCTGCTCTGTGTTCCTTATATTGGACTCTGTTTCCCACAAAGTTAATCTTCAGCTTTGGCTTCCATTTCTTCTGCATCATCATCTCCATCCACTTCGGCATTTTCTCTTTCAAGCCTCTCCATCTGCCTCGCAAGTTCAGTCTCATCTGTATCTGTGACCACTTTGGGCTGTGGAAGCAGAGGTATAATTTAAAACTGAAGTAGTAAACATTATACAAATTTAATTTCAATACAATTACTGCCTCGTGTTTTCTCTCTTTAACACTTTTCTAACAACTGTCATATCTGTTCACTTTAGAGGGCTGACTTGTCAATAACAAATTCCATTAGATAAACAGATGAAATTTATGAAAACAACAGTATAGAAAAAAGATGTATGTACTAAAATGGAAATTTGTTTTTTGTCATCTTTATAAGCTAAAACTGAAAACATGAAATAACCCCAGTGGCTATATCTTTCAAGTCCACAAAAAATGTCCTGTTTAAAAAAAAAAAAAACATCTTCCAGGCTCAAACTACCACTTACTAGCTTACTAGTCCTTTCCACTGAAGGAACCCCACCCCCAACTCTCACGCATGTGTGCACACACACATACACACACACACACGCATTTTTTTTCTTGTTGAGAAAAGGAAAAGACAGGAGACTTTTTTCCTAATTCTAAGATCAAATTTTAGACATGCCACATCCAAAAACTCTAACAATAAAAAACTTCTGATTTATATTGCTTATTCTCTTCCCCCTGGCCAGGAGGTGGGTGGGGTGGTAAGGGTGACCCCCAACACCATTAATGGTCAAAGGCTTGAATAACCTTCCTACAATACGATATTTCAAGGCCAACAGCTCTTATTTATCTATAAAAACCCCTTTTAGAAACCTCCTGAGACATTATTAAAAATGAATCTATTGATCTCACCTCCATTTGAACATTGAACACACCCCTCTTTTCCTCAATCTTTTCTTTGATAACAGCCATTGCTTGACTAAGGACAGAAAGGCCTTCTGTTCTCTCCAGGGTTGTCGTAGTCATTACATACCGAGGAGGAGCTATTAGATTAATCTAAAAGAGAAAAACAAAAATTCAATTATGAACATACCTACAGAATCCCCAACTATTAGGATGCTTGAGATTTTATTACTCTGCTATATTAACAAATCATCCCAAAATGTGCCAATTCTATAGGACAGTAATTTAGGGTCCTACAGAATTGGCGATTATGTTTTGGGGTGATTTGTTAATGTAGAAAAGTGAATCGATACAGGAATCTAATGCAGTAGTATAAACAGTCCACTGTAACAATGAATAAGAACAATTACAATTTCTGGGTATCTTTGGTAGCTCAATTAACTGCAATTATCATCAGTATAATGGATAATTTGTCTCAAACTGATTGAAGAATCCTTCTACAAGATTCTGAGTTATTGCCATTCAGTTAATTTTATCACTAATGAAAGATTCTGATCAAACCTCATAAAATTTGCATATGTATAGATGGGAGAAAGTGGTACTCTTTTTAAAGTGCTATCAGTATTTTGGGCACAGCAACTCTTTATTGTAAAGGAGGTTTAACATCAATGGCTTTCTAAGAATAGGAATCTCCATTCACTGTGATAGTAGCAGCAGAAACCAAAAAGGCCTAAACATAAATCACAAACATCTAGAAATATTACTGAGACTCCCTGATTAATTTTAAGAGTAAAAAAGCCACTTTTGTTACAAAGTATGATTTAAAAAAAAATCAAAACAAAGATCAAAGATCTTATTTGGTTGAGGTGGGTATTTCAGCAGGGAGGGAAACAACTGACAACTCACCTTAATGGGCATGGTTTCTGTAGAACAATTCAAACCTGCTCTTAGGGCTTCTTTTACAGCATCAATGCCTTCATAACCATAACAAGCCACTTCAATATCTGTAATTACAAAATTCAGAAGCTGACACCAAAAAATGCAAAAAATATTTAAAAGTTGGCAGATATACTAGTATTCAGAGACTTAACCTGAATCCAACCTCTACACTGCAGTTCCTTATTTATAAACTGGAGGTAAGGAGGAGTGTGGTAAAGATGGAATATAGCAGTAAGTGCAACTTACCTAAAACAGTTTAGAAACTACATTATCCTTTGACTCAGAAATTATACTTTTAGGAATTTGTCTTGAAGAACATTTGTGTAAATGGGTAAATATGTATAATATAAGGGTGCTAATTTGTAGCTTTTTTTTGTATCTGTGAGAAAACTGGCACAACCTAGATGTTCATCAAGAGGGGACTGGTTTATGTTAAGGTTTATCTGTGCTATGAAACATTACTCAGAATAAAAAAGGATGAAAAGATTCCTATGTTCTGCACGGAAGGGTACCTATGATACACTGGGTAGAAAAGGCTAGACAGAGAAAATCCTGAATAGTATTTGTAAAAATTTGGAGTATTTTAAACTATGCACTAAAACCAAATAATCAAACCCCCTTTTTTTAAAAAAGGGGCTAACTTTAGGTTAGTTGAACTCACATGACTGTTTCTACTTGTGTTAATATAGAAATCTTATGATTCAAAAGCCAAAATAATTTATTAAGCTTTTACTATAAAAAATAAACATTTAGAAAAAATTATAGACATTGATGTAGCAACATATTCTTTGGTAAGTCTCATTATTTAATAGCTTTTTTGATGCATGCAAAATATTGTAAAAACCATTTAAAAAATCATTTACCTGCTCGAATTTTGACAGCCTGTGGGGTCAAGCGCCTATTAATATTATTAATGAGTACTTCCCGTTCATCTTCATTCAAATCTAAACTATCCAAAATAGATGGGTCTCTGGTTAAAAAAAAAAAAAAATAACAAAAAGTCAAGATTATATTACTGATCAATGTGAAACCAAGCACCCTAGAATAATGCATATAATAGTAAAGAAAACACAGGCTTTAATGTCATAATTAAGAGTTCAAATCTTAGCTGTGTACTTACACCCAACTAATTATTAGTGAAATCAAAATTTTAGTGATCCGACTACAACAAGGAATTTAGTATGTCCTAACACATCTGATATTCTAATATAATTGATTACTTCCATGCAATTAGCTGTCTCTGCCTCAAGGAGTTCATAATCTAGCTTGAAAAGAACAAAAACCGGGAAGAATTTGTAAATGTTAACAGTGTATCTGTGGGCATCAGGAGAGGAAGGTATTACTTTCTAATGAGGTAAGGAAGGGCTTCATGCAAAAAGTAGTATTTCATCTAAGTGCCACAGGACATGGACCAGGGTCTTATTAACTGGCATGCCTGTTGAATGAGTAAACAAACAAAAATATGAAATAAAGACTAAAAGAGGAGTAGCACTGTAAAAAGCAAAGGCAGAACTATTTTAAGTAAGTTAAGATACATAGCGCTGGCCACCAGTGGCTCATGCCTGTAATCCCAGCACTTCGGGAGGCTGAGGCAGGAGGATTGCTTGAGACCGGGGGTTTGTAGACCAGCCTAGGCAACAGAGCAAGAACTTCGTCTCTATTACAAAGAAAAAAAGAAAGTTATGCCATATAAAAAAGGAATAGTATGAGCAAGCGTCAGGCTTAATAAGCAAGGGATCTAGTTAAGGAGCAAAAGGCAAGATAATTTGGGTGGAGGGAACTTTTACTCAGCTAATATAAAAAAACAAGAAGACAAACCAACATAAATGCCTAAGAAACAAGATGACAAACAAACAGAAAATAGGCAAATGAGGTGAACAGATGTTTCACAGAAGAAATACAAATGGTCAATAAACACGAAAAACTGTTGACCCTTCCAATAATCAGGAATATGCAAATCAAAAGATACTACTGGGCATTCATTAGACTAGAAAAAGAAGAAAAAAAATCGGATGTATACCAAATTGTGGCAAGGATGAGGGGAAACAGGAATACTTATACAATTGCTAGAGGGAATATAAATTGTAGAATCAATTTTAAGAATAATTTGGTGAAACCAAGTGAGTTTAAAGATATATAATCAATCCTGTATCAAACCTATGACCTAATAATTTCACTCCTAGGTATATACATTAGAAACTCTCAAACAAGTACACATAGAGACATACAGTATTCATTGTAGCACTGCTTGACAAAAGGGACAAAAGGGAAAAATTACCTGAACAACTCTTAAGAGAGGAACAGATAAAGCATATTCTCACAATGAAATACTATACAGAGATTAGTATGGATCAGATATACATCTATCAATGTGGAAGAATCCTGCTTAATAACAGCCTTATATGTAAAAGTGCAAGCAACAAAAAGATACAATAGGTTACATTTTAAATAAAAAATGATTATAGACACATGTGTAGTAAAACAATAAAAACATAAATGATATTGACATAAAAACAATTTCAGAATACTGGTTATCACTGATAAGTGAGGGAAATAAGTGTGAAAAGGTAAAACATTGTTTCCAACTATGTCAGAAATTACATGAAATTCAAAAAAATGAAAAGAACTAGCATTAGTTAAATCTGGACAGTCCCTACATGAATGAAGCAAGAAGAGTGCTAAGGGAAAGGGAATAACACATGCCAAGGCTAGAAGACAGAGGGAATGCTGGAGCTAGAAGTTAAAGAGGTAACTTGGGCCAGATGATAGTTAAGACAAGTTAAGAAATGTACTGAGGACTGCAAGACAAAAATATAAAGTGGTGCTTAATGGCTTAGTACAAACTCTGGATGACGCCAGAATGCATGGGTTTGAATACTGCCTGGCTCTATGATTTGTTAGCTGTGTGACCTTGAACAAATTATTTAATCTCAGCTTCAATTTCTTCAACTATAAAAAAAAAAGGGTAACAACAGCATTTATACTATTGTCAGAATTATATAAATGTTAGCTATTATTACTATTCCCACCTTTTCTGCCACATGATACACACACACACACACACACACACACACATATATGTAAAAGTCGCATGAGAATGAACTTGAAGGGATTTTGAACCCCAGATGAGTTGGTTTGCTGGGGACTCTTAACAGTCCTGGGTCTACTCATTCTCTTCTTATTCCCCCTTTACCTCTTAACATTTAGGAAGGAGTGGGAGGTAAAGAGACAACAAGTACAGAGAACTGAAAGAGTCTGGTTTTTTTTTTTTTTTTTTTTTAAGAGTCACTCTGTCATCCATGCTAGAATGCAGTGGTATAATCATAAACCACAGCTCACTGAAACCTCAAACCACTGGACTCAAGTGATCCTCCTGCCTCAGCCTCAAACAAGTACAAATTCCTGGGACTACAGGCACATGCTACCATACCTGGCTACTTTTAATTTTTTTTGAAGAGGTGGGGTCTTGCTATGCTGCCCAGGCTAGTCTCGAACTCCCAGCCTCAAGCAATCCTCCACCTCAGCCTCCTATAGTGCTGGGATTATAGGCATGAGTCACGATGTACAGCCAAGTGTGGCTGTTAAAAGCAGAGAACAGAGTTTGCTCCAAGAGAAAGTACAGGAAAAGTTGAGAAGTATGTTTTTTAGTATAAATGGAAGAAACCATAAATATTGGTATTTATGCTGATGGAACAATACCAATAAAGAGAAAGGTGATCCAAGAGAAGGAGTAACTGATAGAGATCCCTGAGCAGCAGCTGGGTACAGGTGGCAAAATTAGTTTGAGAGCAAGAAAGACACAAATTCCAGTGACAGCAGCACAAGAAGTGACAGGCAGGACGGAGATATATGTTTGCTGAGATAGTGGAAAAGTAGTTCTTTTGCAATGGGTTCTATTTTCTTTATAAAATAAAACAGGTAGTGAGCATAGCAGCCAAGAGGCAGGGAACAGGGGTAGAGTGGTTTTCTGAGGAAGAACATGGAAAAGCTCTAAAATAGCCACTATAAAAATGGAAAGAAGAACTGATCAAGAGCAGAGAGAATGTGGAACAGCTAAGGCTGGAGACCATGAATATGCAGTGGATGAACCTGCAAGACTGTGATTTTTTTCCTAGCAGCATCCAGCAGTCTGCAAGTACAGAAAAGGCAGGAACATCAATCCAAGACTGGATGTATCAGAAGGAAAAACAGGGCAAAAGCTCATGATAATGGCAAGAAAGTCATTGAAATGATGGATCATGGTGTGCCTATGTTGGATAAGAAAGAGAAGGCAGGAAATGGTGAAAAGACAGGGAGAAAAAAGGTTTGGAATTAGAGCCTAATACACACAATTAAGATGACAAAGAGTAGGACCAACTGGGAGCTAGATGGATAGGAGGCTGGGGCAAAAGAACAGAAAGTGTGAATTAAAGATTTTAGTTGCAGAGCAAATCCTGGTAATAGTAAGGGCCAGGCTAAGGCTACATGGAAGACTGGCTAAAGTGGTGTGGGCTGAAAGTCAAAGGAGAGTCAAAAGAGGCAGAGAAAACAAGAGGTTATAATTTTCGATGAGATACGCTCTGTATCTTTAGCCCTATAGGCACTTGGGACAATAACTAGGAATGGAAACTGTGTAAGGGAGTAGTGTGAGATAAACCATATGGTTTGTGAATCTACATAACTATGATATGAATATTTTAATCTAAATTTAGCAAGGATTTTATACATGGATGCTGTGCTGTTAAATATCAGGCTAAGAATTATAATATTAAGGTAGAAACCGAGTCAGGAAGGTATTCTTACGAGACTGCATGCTTAAATGCATCATAGGCACCATATCCAGGTCTCTTGTACTTGTCATCAAAGACCCAGGCAGTCCTCTGGAATAGGCTTTCCAGCTGCTCATCCTTGGTGTATTCTAACACCTCAGCAACATGACGTAGAATGCTATAAACCTAGAAATAAAACGAAAAGCTCAACAATTCGAAGAGATCTATAAAAAATACTTTAATATTTTAGTTGACAACAAAATTTGACAATAATTCTTTAACAATAAAAAAATCTCCATACAAGTTCTTTCTCCATAGGGAAATACTCAGTTTCCCATAATAAACTCAAGTGGGTATAAAAGTAGAGACAGTATACAATTTAGGTCCTAAGACCTAGATCAAGTCCTGACAATAACAGTATCTCTGAACTTGTTTCCTCTTCTGGAAAAAGAAAATATTAGCATCTCTCTTCCTTACTACAGAGAGTACTTGTACAGATCAAATATATAGAAACCACACAGTATAAATGGAAAACGATTAAACGAATATAAGTTGCTATTATTACTCCATGAGGGCAGAATCAGGATTGAAAGTTTTTTGTTGTTGTAATCTTACCCACTTGCCAAACTTTTTCTTATCTCCTAAAATTAATATAGGGTGTAGAGGAAAGGTATTAAAAGGTCTTCATCATAGTCACACATAAAAATTGAGTGAGTCTGCTCAATGTTTTGAAATATTAACAAAAAAATTTAAAAATTTTAAAAAATTGAGAAAAGGTACTGACATTGAACAACTTCCATTTAACATCTCGATAAGATCTATTAGCATACTCATTTTAACAATATCCTAAGGAGACAAAAAATACGCAATTTTCCCAGAAAACTACTTCTCAAAAGTTAGTGGGACCTGAGAGTCGATATTTCTAAAAAAGAATCAGGTGATGCCAGTGCTCTTAATTGAGAGATTACATTCTGAGTGATAAGGTCCTAGAGTTTATTAAAAAGAGATTTTACTAACAGTGTTTTCAAATGTGTAAACCACACTGCATAACTGTAAATACATCAGTAAACCAAAAAAAAAAAAAAAAAAGATTTGGTAACTAACGGCTTTCAGACCTTTACTTTCTCTTTTACTGGGATTAAGCAAGATTTTTAAAATCTTTCTTCATTGAAACTTTTTTCTTTGATATTTTGTCTTGAGAACAGAAACACTCATGGCAGAAAAGAACAGACACCAGAGAAGGGCAAAGAAAATAGAAGCAATAAAAACAGTACCATTAAGAACTGAGGATGGGCTGGGAACACTGGCTTACGCCTGTAATCTCAAATACTCTGGGAAGCAGAGGCAAATGGATCGCTTGAGCCCAGGTGGAGGTTGTTACAAGTAAGCTTAGATTGCGCCACTGCACTCCGGCCTGGGCAAGACTTTGACCCGGCCCCCCCGACCCCCTCAATGCCGAGGATGTAGAGATTGAAGGATAACTTAAATAGGACTGGGCAAGACTGGACAAGACTTTGAAAAAGACACACACACACACACACACACACACACACACACACACACACCCCCCGTGAGGATGTAGAGAATGAAGGATAACTTAAATAGGACCTGAGAAAACAGAAATACTGACAAGAAATGTGAAGAGATGAAATGGCTATCTTTGTTGACCAGTGCTTACTGTGGATGACAAAAGTATGAAGTAACAGCAAAAATAAGAAAAAAAGTAAGAAGAAATAATCCTAACACGCTAGTGGAGGAAAAAAAAATGGAAAAACAAAACAAAACAAAAAAACTAGTTAACAGGCCTCTCTGCCTTGCTTTCCTGGATTCATGAACATTTCACAAATCCTTTTTCATTCTTGACACACAACAGCTGGTTCTCTCTGTTATCCTTATCCCAAACCAGGGTTGAAAATCAAGAACTGTATTTTGGCTAAGTGCACTGGCTCTCTTCTATAATTCCAGCACTTTGCGGGGCTGAGGCTCGAGGATCAGTTGAGGCCCAGGGTTTGAGAACAACCTGGACAAAACAGCAAGATCATTTCTATATAAACAAACAAACAAAAAACCCCACTGTATTTTATGAGGCAGTCCAATTGGAAGTAAGTCAAACCAGCTGAAGTCAACCACAGTTGATTTAACCTAAGATGGCTTCAAAACACTTCTAGTACTGATTTGAGAATATTAGATCATAAGCAATACTTTAAGGTAGTAGCACTATGAGATTAAAAAAACCTATCGTAGTCATACTCTTTTGAAATGAAAATTTCAAATTATTTATTAAACACATAAATAGTGGACTAATTTGACTCAAAGATCAACTTACAGTTTTGGATTTTGTGAATTTGTCTTCACATTTGATTGCTTCCTCTGGAGAAACTCTTCTTTTTGACAAATCTATATATCCTGTACAAAAAAATTTTGAAAAAATTATCTCTGTCTAGGTGCCAACATCAGTTTTTAAGACCAAATTAAGTGTTCAACTGGCGTACTTACAATTATTCCCTATGAAAATCCTATCAACAAAATACTGCATAAGTAGTACAGGCTGAGTATTCCCCGTCAGAAATGCTTGGGACCAAAAGTGTTTCGGATTTCAGATTTTAGAATATTTGCAATATTCCAAAAAATTTTGGAATATTTGCATTGTATTTACTAGTTAGAGCATCCCTAATCTGAAAATTCCAAATCTGAAATGCTCCAATTAGCATTTCCTTTGAGCATCATGTTGATGCTCAAAAAGTTTCAGATTTTGGATTTTTTGGATTAGGGGATAAGGTATTCTCAATCTGTACATGATGAGAAATTCTGAGTTGTTTTCAGAAATAAATTTTTATTATCAGGTGATTATATATTCTCCATTACCTTATTGGTGAGAATAATTTTCAATTATCCAAAGGAAAGCTAGTCAAATGCCTGTCTTTCCCCTGTTTCTTCCTTTTCCTTCTGCAGAATAGGAATTCACTAAGATGTTCATTTTAAGGAAAGAGGCTGTCCTCACAGAAGAGACACACACACAGAGAACAAATTAAAACTATCTCATCTACTGCGTGACTATGATATCCAAGTAACTATGTTAGGTGCTTAAACATCTCACTGAACCCTCACAACAATCCTCCATAGATTATCATCCTTTCTCACAGCCCTCCACTCTTTTTTTTTGTTTTAACCTGAAGAAAGTAAAACCCAAGAGAGGTTAACTAACTTGTCAACGTCAAATAGCCAAAAAATGGCTGAAACCCACTAACCTGTGCCTGGCAATGACTTCTAGCACAATGCTGAGTAACAGTGATGAGAGTGAATGTCTTGTTCTCAATGATGAAGGACAGCATGTCTGTGGCTTTTTTCTTTTTCTTTTTTTTCTTTTCTTTTTTTTTTTTTTTGAGGCGGAGTTTCGCTCTTGTTACCCAGGTTGGAGTGCAATGGCGCAATCTCGGCTCACCGCAACCTCCGCCTCCTGGGTTCAGGCAATTCTCCTGCCTCAGCCTCCTGAGTAGCTGGGATTACAGGCACGCGCCACCATGCCCAGCTAATTTTTTGTATTTTTAGTAGAGACGGGGTTTCGCTATGTTGACCGGGATGGTCTCGATCTCTTGACCTAGTGATCCACCCGCCTTGGCCTCCCAAAGTGCTGGGATTACAGGCTTGAGCCACCGCGCCCGGCCGTCTGTGGCTTTTTTCTAGACACTCTTTTTCAGATTAGAAAATTCTGTTCTAGTTCTTATTTGCTGACGTTTTATCATGAATGCATGACAAATTTTCTCAAATGCTGTTTCACATCTATTAAAATGGTTACGTTTTCCTCCTAAACTCTGTTCACATACACTGAATTTATTTCATATTCTGAGCATTCTTTTTCATTAAAATGGTATGACTTGCATACACTAAAATTCACCACTTTCAGTGTTAAGTTCTTTGAGTTTTAAAAAAAGAATACAGTCATTTAAACCAAACATCACCAAAATCAAGTTCCATCACCCCGACGCCACTAAAAACTGGGTACAAGCTTTTTTGCGAACATATATTTTCCTAAAAATGGCACAGTTGGGTTATATATTAAGTATATGTTCACTTTAACTGTCCAACTGTTTCCCAAAATGAATGTGGCACTCTGCATTCCCATGAGCAATGTGGAGCAGTTAGAACTGTTACCTAAGAAATCTTTGCCTAATCCAAGATCAAATATTTACTCCTATGTTTTCTTCTAGAGGTATTTCGAAGTTTAGATTTGACTTTTACATCTCTGATTCATTTTAACTTTTGTATAAGGTGGTGTCTGACTTGAGGTCCTTTTTTACATATGGATATCCAGTTGTCTCAGCACTATTTGTTAAAAAGATACTTTTTTTCTTTAATCAGCTGCCTTTATACTTTTGTTAATTAACTGATCATATAAAAGCGCACATTAATAAAAATTTTTTTTTTTTTTTTTTTTTGAGATGGAGTTTCGCTCGTTACCCAGGCTGGAGTACAATGGCGTGATCTCGGCTCACCGCAACCTCCGCCTCCTGGGTTCAGGCAATTCTCCTGCCTCAGCCTCCTGAGTAGCTGGGATTACAGGCACACGCCACCATGCCCAGCTAATTTTTTGTATTTTTAGTAGAGACGGGGTTTCACCATGTTGACCAGGATGGTCTCGATCTCTTGACCTCGTGATCCACCCGCCTCAGCCTCCCAAAATGCTGGGATTACAGGCTTGAGCCACCGCGCCCGGCAAAAAAAAATTTTTTTAAATAAAGGTCCTGCTATGTTGCCCAGGCTGGTCTTGAACTCCTGGGCTCAAGTGACCCTCTCACCTAGGCCTCCCAAAGCACTGAGATTACAGGCATGAGCCACCATGCCCAGCCAACATAAAGTTATAACTGTTAAACCAAACTGGCATTCCATACACTCCACTTGGTCATGCTTTATTATCCTTTTTATACATTGTTGGATTTAAAAAACTATTTTATTATGAATTGTTTTATCTATGCTAATCACAAATTGGGTCAGTAATTTGTTTTAAAAAAACATGTCTTTGTTGGGTTTTCTTATAGGGTTATGATGGCCTCATAAAATTAGTCATGAACTGCGTAACATTTCAGTCCACAATGGACGGCATATATAGCAGTAGTGCTGTAAGATTACAATACTGTGTAACACTGGATTTTTCGGATTGTAATACTGTACCTTACAATTCCACGAGCTCAAATGAGACAGTTAAATATATTTAAAGAAACTAAGAAGGGTAAAAATGTCTTTTATATTTACCTGTGTATTTTCCATTTCAGGTCATCACATCTCTTCAGCCTAAAGAACTAATTTCACCACCCCTGCCACCTTTTTCTGTTTTGGAAACAAGGTCTGGTTCTATTGCCCAGGCTAGAGTGCAGTGGTGCCATCTCAGTTCACTGCAGCCTCCGCCTCCTGGGCTCAAGCCTTTCTCCTACCTGAGCTTCCTGAGTAGCTAGGACTACCGTGAGCACCACCACATCCAGCTAATTTTTGTGTTTTTTGTTAGAGACGAGGTTTTGCCATATTGCCCCAGCTGGTTTTGAATTTGTGAGTTCAGGCAATGTGTCCACCTCAGCCTCCCAAAGTGTTGGGGATTACAGGTGTGAGCCACCAGGCCAGGCCATGTCTTTAGTTTCTATTTATCTAGAAAGTCTTAATTTTGACCTTTATTGTTGAATATTACCTTTAAATACATAATTCTGGTTTGAGTGCTTTAAAGATATCATCCAATGCTCTGGCCTCCATTATTTCCAGTATGAACACCACAGTAATTTGTATCACTGTTATTCTGTAGGTAATATGTCTTTCTCCTTGGGCTATTTTCAATATTTTTCTTTACCTTTTTTCTTTAGTATTAACAGTTTGACGTGCCTGGGTATGATCTTAATAGCATTTATCCTGCTTAAGAGCTGTGGAGCATCTTCAATTTGTAAATTTTTTTTCCCCCAACAAATAAGGGAAACTTTTAGCCATTATTTAATCAAATCTATTTTCTGTTCTCTCTCCTCTTTCATTTCTAGAATTATATATATATATATATATTTGAGACAGAGTCTTACTCTGTTGCTCAAGCTGAAATACAGAGGCGCCATCTTGGCTCACTACAACCTCCGGCCTCCCAGGTGCAATTAATTCTACTGCCTCAGCCTCCCAAGTAGCTGGGATTATAGACACATGCCACCACGCCTAGCTAATTTTTGTATTTTTGGTAGAGACAGGGTTTTGCCATGTCAGCCAGGTTGGTCTTGAACTCCTGACCTCAGGTGTCTGCCTGCCTCGGCCTCCCAAAGTGCTGGGATTACAAGCATAAGCCACTGCACCTGGCCTTAGAATTTATATTTAGTTGGGCACTGCATAATGATATTTTAGTCAACACTGAACTCCATATACAATGGCGGTTCCATACGACTATAATGTAGTTGCAAAATTCCTATTGCCTAGTGATGTAGCGCATTTAGTTTTTACGACTAGGCTGGAGTGCAGTGGTGCCGATCTTGGCTCAGTGCAACCTCTGCCTCCCAGGTTTGTATGATTCTCCTGCCTCAGTCTCCTGAATAGCTGACATTACAGGTGAGGTGCCACCACGCCCAGCTAATTTTTGTGTTTTCAGTAGAGACGAGGCTTCACCACGTTGGTTAGGCTGGTCTCAAACTCCTAACCTCGTGATCTGCCAGCCTCGGCCTCCCAAAGTGCTGGGATTATAGGCATGAGTCACTGCACCCGGCCAAGCGTACTGTTTCTAAAGTCTACAATAGTGTAATGTCCTAGGCCTTCACATCTACTCACCACTCACTGACTAACCCAGAACAACCTCCAGTCCTGCAAGCTCCATTCATGGTACGTGCCCTATATAGGTACACCATTTTTTATCTTTTCTACTCTATTTTTACCATGCCCTTTCTGTTTAGGTACACAAATACCATTGTGTCAACTGTCAACAGTATTCAATACAGTAACAGGCTGTACAGGTTTATAGCTTAGGAGTAATGGTCTATACCATATAGCCTAGGTGTGTAGTAGGCTACACATCTAGGTTTGTGTTAAGTATGCTCTATGAATCTTACATAACAAAACTGCCTAAAGATACATTATCTCAGAATGTATTCTTGTCATTAAAGGACACTTGACTATGGTTCTTTGTGAAAGTTTCTAAATTTTCTGAGATTTTACTTTGTTCATTTCTTACAAGCATATTTCCCTAATGTGCTTGAGCTGTTATAATATCTGCCTTAAAATTCATGTCTGGTAGTCCCAACACCTGGATCATCTCTGGGTCAGTCTCCACTGGTTACTTTTCTCTTCTGTATGGGTCACATTTTCCCATTTATTTGTATGGTTAGCAATTTTGCATTGCATCCTGGACCTGTGGCAAAGACTCTGGATTCCCGTATGTTCCTCTTACAAAAACAGATTTTTTGTTTTAGAAGGTAGTCAACATCTGAACTTACAAGTTCTGTCTCCATAGATGGTAAGTAACTGAAATCTGTTCAGATTTTTTCCTTATTGGGCTACTTGGAGTTCATCCTGTGTATCAGTAGTTCAGGGATAAGCCAGAGATCTGGGCGGAATCTACATACAGCCTTGGCGGTTCTCCCTTTGTCTTCTTTCTCTAATGCTCACCACAACCGCCACCAGTTTCCATCTACTATGGTTGTCTAGAACTCTCGCCTCCAATTCTAAAGCCAGTGAAGACTAAGTTTTCCACTAGAACCTTAGCTGCCCGGCTTGAAGCTCTCTTTAGCATGTACTAAGTGTAAAACAGAAAACACAGCCTTTCTTCTAAGTGTTGACTCACCTTCAATTTTGGCCGGCTTTTGGCTGCTCCTCATCGTCTTTAGGTAGTAGTTATTTTTCATGTTTGTTCAGGGTTTACAGCAGGTATGTCAAAAAGCTTGTCTAGTAGGACCTAATTCTCTAGTATCAAAATGAATCCTCTCTACAGGCTCTTTTGCACTTTGCTCTTTTTCTTATCCTATCCTGGAGATCTTCCCATATCAGAATATTCAGATCTCATTCTGCATAAAATTGCATTGCATGCATTTGTCCTGATTTATTTAACCAGTCCCCATTTTGGTCATTTCCTGGTTTTAGTTAATGCCATACAAACAAATGGAAGTATCTTTACATGTATGTACTAGACATAAGTATGCCTTTCCATATTTTTTTCTGATTGCAACTAAAAACATATTTGATTTCTCCTTTAGTATATATTTTATACAATAGAAAAAGAAGGCTGAGCACAGCCTTGGCCTGCTTTGCAAGGCTAATCTTGAACTGGATTGCTTGAGCAAAATTAGCCTGTCTCAACATAGAGAGACCCCATCTCCACAAAAAAATTTTGTTTTTTTTTTTAATTAGCTGGACATGGTGGCACATGCCTGTAGTTCTAGTTATTTGGGAGGACTACTTGAGGAACACTTGAATCTAGGAGTTCAAGGCTGCAGCAACCTATGATCACAGCACTACACTGAGGCCTGGGTGACAGAGCAAGATCCCAACTCAAAAAAAAATAGGAAGTACAAGATTAGATAATATTTTAGGTACTTCTAGGACAGTGATGTGAAGACTTACATAAGTTTAACAAACAGTCTCAAAGTAGTAGTCACTACCTAAGGCATAAGACATCCTCAAAGTCTATGTATCATCTAAGGCTATAATCGAAAAAATTTAAATGTCAGTATGTATAAAATTAATCACTTGTAGAAGTGAGAAAGTATCAGTAAACTAGATGGCTGAGGAGATTCAGAAGGATAAGTTCAATCAAGGTGACTCACTGAACTTTCAGGCATGGCCTGAAACTAATGGCCTAAAACTAATACCTAACAAAATATAGTAAGATGGCTGAAACTAAAACTTACTTAATGGTATTGCACACCATGTTTTAAAAAAACAGTATTCACTAAGATGATGATTTACATGAAGCCCAGAGAAGGCATCCAATCAGTAAAAAATGAATAGTCATCCAACACTGTCGGAAAGATACCACAGGATCTGAGAGACACAAACATTCTAATTACCAGTGAGATATACAATGCTGGATTTCAGGTGTGTATGTACACACATAGTATACTGCTTTTTCAAAGCTTATGTAAAAGATTCTAAAACCCATTTGCCCCATTTTCATGCTTACTCAATGATCTCACCACTATTTTAGCTTTAAATAAAGAAAAAGGCATCCAACATATTCAGGCCTACCAATGTAAATAAACTAACAACTCTGGTTTACTTATCTCTTTCATGCTTGGTTACCATGAGTCAATTACCAAGATCCTCATAAACACTAGAAATAAAATTCAAGTTATTTGATCCATAAAACCCTAAGATGTACTAATTAAACTACTAACTTAAGAGATCTTGCTTAAACAGCTAATTGGCATCCTTTTCTAACAACTTTGTATGTAAAAGAATTTAAGTATAAAACGAGCTTTTTTTCTTTTTAAGCTGCAGCATACAATTTACAAAAAATTTATTTTTAAATAAACCATTTTAAATCAGAAATTTATACTACAGATACTTTTCCCACTTACCTTTTTCTTTGTCCACCCTAATGACAACCACACACTCATTCCTGCCAATTCGGATGAGTTTGTTTATAGAACGGATACGCCTTCTGGATAATTCACTAAGAAGAATCATGCCTTCAATGTTGTTGTATTCCAGCAAGCTGACATAAGCACCCATTTCAGCAATGGATCTTACATTCACCATCACTACATCTTCCACCTCAGGAAATTTGTGTTGATAAAATCTACAACTTAGACCCGGCATTCTGCAATTTAAACAAAAGAATTAAATAAGTGTTCAGTTAAGGTTAAAATTTAAGAAAAATCAATTTTCTACTTCTTGCCACTGAAAGATGAAAAAAAAAGTTATTAGTCTTCTCAACCCTTGAAACTTCTTAAGTGGTACCAGAAAACAGATGATGTTCAGGAACCAAGCTTTAATCTTTATTTCACTCAACGTTACTGTAATGCTTTGGTGATTCTCTGCCATTAGTTTCAGAGGAATCATAAAAAATAATGACCATCTATAAAGTACTCCAAGACCTAAGGATTAAAGGAATACCTCAAGAGTAAAATACTACTTTAAGGTATATCAAATGATGGGAAGCATCACTATTATAACTAACCAGCAAAACTGAAGCTACTCTTTGCCCAAGTTAGCAAAGATTATATATGCTACCACTCACTATATAAAGGAAAGAATTTTCTACCCAAATCCTAACCAATATACCATATGATATATTCTAGCATTTATTATAGCCAAAAATAGTGTCACATGTCAAAGCAACAAAAAATTAAAAAATTTTAATCACAAACTAAAATGCATCCACCTTTAACAATTGTTTTCCTTTAATTCACAATGTCTAGCTTCTCCTATCCCCATTACTCCCAAATATTCCTTCCTTTTGTTGAATAGGTATACCTAATCTTGAGAAAAGCTTTAATCTCCATTACCACAAAGTTAAAGTTTCTGTTAACCTCTAAGCATTAAAGATATTTATAATCATTCCCTTTGATCCCCAACCTACTTTCCGCACTCTTTCAAGATCCTCAAGTGTGTAATTGTAACATGGGTAGAAGCATATTTTTAAAAGGAAGCTCTCAAATTAATCATGGCTGATGATTTTCATGTTTTTCTGTTAACCTTAACTGTTGTCATTGCTCAAAAGATAGGTAGTAACAGAACTTAAAGGCCCAAGAAAAACTTGTGAAAACTCATTTAATAACTTATTAATTGGCACCTGCATGTATCTTCCCAGTAGCTTCCTACTGACTTTCTTATGTTTTCACTGCCTACAGAATCCTACATGAACTGGCCACTGCCTATCTCCTTGTGGTGCAACTCTCTCCCTAATTCTCCCCATTTTATAGACTAAAAAGGGGAAGCACAGGTTAAGTTACTTGTTCTTTCACATACTGCTAACAGGTGGTGAGTCAGGATTTGAATCCATGAAGTTTAGATCCAGTCTGTGCTCTTATAAATCAGACTATATTCTCTTAAAACTATTCATAAATATGATTAGAAACATTATGCTTAAAAAGGAACAATATATATATTCAGTGCTAGAGCACACACCACCAGTAAGTGCAAACTATTAGTACTCATCTGTTTGACAACAAAAAGCAGCATATTGATCATGGTAGCAGAGATGTATTTCTTTGTAGAGAATACAAAATCCCTACAAAACAGGGATTTAGCAAATAAAGAGAAGTAGACATTCAATGGCCAGAATTAACTGCCAAGAAACAGCTGACTGGTTGTTTCATTTTTAAACAGGGCTTTTCGGTGAAGGGGGTGGGGATGGTGAGGAACCTGTTGTTGAATATGTGTATGTAAAGTTCTCAAATTTGAGAGCTAAAAAAAGTTTCAAATTGGGCATCAAAATTAACTATGTTACAGAAATGTGTGGAACAGTTTTAAGACATTTAACAGATGAAAACCGCATTTACTTACCAAGTTTCTCCAAATAGTAAAGGTGATGCTTTTGGGGGAAGCAAAGCTTAATTTGATGGTTAAGGAACATAGGTAAGCCAGGTATGGTGGCTCAGGCCTGTAATCCCAACACTCTGGGAGGCTGAGGGGGGAGAATCACCTGAGGTCAGGAGTTCAAGACCAGCCTGGCCAACATGGAGACACCCGTCTCTACTAATAATACAAAATTAGCTGGGTGTGATGGCGCATGCCTGTAATCCCAGCTACTTGGGAGGCTGAGGCAGAAGAATCACTTGAACCTGAGAAACAGGTTGTGGTTAGCCAAGATCAGGCCACTGCACTCCAGCCTGAGGCAATCGTGTAAAAGAATCCTGAAGGGATATAACTATGAATACTGTTTCTTCAGGAGGCCCAAGTCTCTTTGCAACATAAAGGGTAAGTAAAGGAATACTGTTGATAGTATGTTATTCATAGTAAAGACACCAAGTGGTTGAGTAAGTACAAAAAGAATCCATAAAATGAAAACCACATATTGGTTGATAAAATTTGAACATATTGCCCAATGAAATGCTAATAACTTTAAGTTAAAAAAATTTGTTTTGACTTAAAAAAATCATTCAGGAATATTAAAATCACACTAGGTATTTATTCAGCTCTATCTTTTTCATAGCATTCTGACTTATTTTATTTGGTCCTCAAGAAGTGTCAAGTCATGCAATTAACACAGTAAACTCAGGGAACAGCTCTAGACTTGGGTTCCAGTCCTTGCTCTGGTACTTACTAAAGTGGCTGCTTGGGAAAGGTAACCTCCTTTGAGCCGTAGTTTCTTATCTGTGCCATGCACATCACAGGTTAACTGAGGGTATGACATGTATGTGTAAATACATTTTGAAAACCATAATGTGCTAGTCAAACAAAAAATATTAAAAAGCAAAGGAGGCATTATTTTTCATTTTGTAATATAATTTGTTAATTTTTTTTTTTCAGTATCTACTACGTACTAAACACTAATGATACAACAAGAAAGACTCTTACCAGGCATGGCATGGTGGCTCACACCTGTAATCCCAGCACTTTGGGAGGCCCAGGTGGGTGGATCACTTGAGGCCAGGAGTTCCAGACCAGCCTGGTCAACATGGTGAAACCCCATTTCTACTAAAAATGCAAAAATTAGCCGGGTGTGGTGGTGGGCACCTGTAATCCCACTACTTGGTGGCTGAGGCAGGAAAAGCCCTCGAACCCAGGGGCGGAGGCTGCAGTGAGCTGAGATCGTGCCACTGCACTCCAGCCTGGGCAACAGAGACTCTGTCTCTAAAAAAGAGAAAAAAAAAAGACTCTTATCTAAGTAATTAAGTGCAGAGTGGGAAACAAACTAGCAAACAAATAATTACAATAAAAGTACTATGAAAGGAGTACAGTGATGCAATGAACAGGAAAAGGAGGAACATAAATACTGAATTATAATACTTCCTTAAGGACAAATGCTTAACAAGTACCAGAGCAGGAGCTCCAGAATGTCGTTAACCCACAGAACCTCAATATCACACTATAATACTGTTATGTGTTCTGATGTAAAAATATCAGCCACCTTTCAAAATACATCAACGAAACTCCAGGTTAATTTCAAATACCCTGCATCGTCAGTTATTTTGCAGGACAAATGGTAGGTAGGACTTCTTAGTGCATGTTCAAATTGCCATAACGGATATAGAAGTTCACATTCCTTTCCAAAATATCTGATGGGGACAACTCTAGTGATAATTCTAATTTGGATCAAATACGGATTAGGAATGCTCTCTGAATGTTAGTTCTTAGTATAGGAGTGCTACGTAAATAAAGTTTTTATTTCATCATTATAGTTGAATAAGAAAATATCACCAAGTCTATACAAACATTACTGTGCATAAGACAACATCTTTTGAGAATCGCTGTCATTTGGCACCAGATGAACTGAGAATAGGCAGTAAAGTTCTGCCTATTCTCACTAAAGTCATCCCCAAACTATTGACACAGAGAATTTTCCTTGAATAACAACTCAATTGAGAGAAAATAAAGATTTCTCTGCTATGCCTTTTCTCTAAGAAACCACGTGTTTTGCTTAATAAAAATTAAAACAGCCTTAGTTTTAAGGATAAAGAGATCTCAGGATGACTGCATTTAATCCGAAAATATTTCCTTATCTTAGGCTTTTAGTTATGCTTCACTAACATAGTTAACCCAGCACATGCTTAACCCAGTTCTATTCTCACTGTCGCCAAAAATCGACAAACTGATAGTAACAGTAATAAACCCAATAGTCTCATTTGATTCAAGGGGTGACTCATTGAATTTATCAGTTGAAAAACTACTCAGACCCAGCTCTTTCCAACACGGTGCCCATCCCACAGGTTTCTCAGGTTAGAGTCCGACTTGGTTTCCACCGAGAAGCAGGGGAAATTTTGGTAGAACTGTTGGGGCAGAAGAAAAGATGAAATTCTCTGGCCCGGAAAAAGCAAAGTGCTCAGCGTCCTGAGCTGGGTAAGAGTTAGGGTGTCACAGCGTTCTCCCGAGGCCGCCCCATCATCACGGCATTCTCGCTTTCGGCATACTGTAGAGGCTGTATAATCCACTCGGCCCACTTTCCTTCACGAGATTCCTCTGCTCGAACAACGATGCCTCTGGAGCATGACCGACAGGACGACCGACAAGGAGCCAGCGAGGAGGCCCACGACAGCGCGGGTGGCGGCGGTGCTGTCCAGCCACTTCCCGCGCAGGGACGGGAAAGGGAGGTGTTAGCCCGGGGCCTACCCGCTCTCGAACACCCATGTCACTGGACACAAACCAAAGTGAGTTCTTGGAGAAACCGAGCTTGGGATTAGTCACCTGAGGTATGTGTGTGATTCCCGCACGGGAACCCAGCGCCGCCTTCTTCAAGCAGAAGAGACCAGGCTTGCTGCTCCCGCACCGGCTGCCGATCCTCTGCCGATCCTCAGCGTGCGCTTCGCTCACCCACACTGCGCATGCGAACCCTCCTTGCACAGCGCAAGCGCTAAACGAATAGAGGCCCTCTTCATCATTAACCATAGAGTCTGGGTCCTCCGAGAACGAATAGGAATGTAGATCGTGGAAGGACCTGAAAAGTACGGTTTCTCGCTATCTTAGCTTTAGCTAAGTAACATTCAAGGCGCAAGAACGACATAGGACTCTGATTCCTTGCCTCTGAAGAATGCATCCTCGCTCAAAGTTTTAGCTAACCGTGAGATGGCGCTCTGACCATATACGAAAGATGGAGAAAGACAAGACGTGAACGCTTAGCTCCTAGTCTTAGGCCTGGCGCATGCCGCGTATTGCGCAGCCGCAGGGAAGTTGGACGGTGAGGGGTTGGGAGGCGAACCGGAATTGAGCGGTGGTTCCGCGCTGCGCGCGCCTCGACATCCGGGCAACGCCTCTGTTCTGTCTTTCCCCTCCCTCGATTGTGACAACCGGAAGCGGAAGTGAAAATGGGTGTGCCGGCTGCCTCTTAGCAACGAGAGGGGTCAGGTGACACAACCAGCTGACTCCTGTAGAGGAAGTCACCGTGGAGGCCAATTCTGAAGCTGTTGCAGCATCAGTTGCCCGGCCGGGACCCGAGCCGAACAGTCATCAGAATGTCGGGCAAAGACCGAATTGAAATCTTTCCCTCGCGAATGTAAGTGAAGGAATGGGATGAGCCACTCTCACAGGTTTAGGAACCCGGAGTGCTGTCTGTCCCTCCATACCCTGGGCCACCGGTGAGGGTCCTTGTTTCCTGGGCCTATCCTGAACGTTTCCCAGGTTCTTTTCGTGATTCTGGGACGAGGCTTCCTGACGGCCTCTTAGCGCATTCCTCCTGTGTGAATCAGGCTTGACGGAGCGATCCCGGCCGGCGGGTTTTTGTGGAGGTCCGCTGTCTTTATTCATTAATGGGTTCATCCATTCCATATACCTTTATTGCGCCTGGCGGTGGATTTATATAACCGAACCGTCGCCACCTCTGCCCTCACAGTTTAGTAGCCAGACATTCGTCTGGAAAGGCCCAGGAGATTTAATAATCGCTCTGAGAAGGGAAGTTTACTGACGATATAGAAGAGGCCCCTAAGCCAAAGTGGGGATGGAATCGAATCGCCCTAGCACAGGCTTCGGATTCGATCTTCCATCCCCTTACTCATTTTTCAAGATCCCGCCAAATGTCACCTGCTGTGAGAGAATATCCCTGTGTTTCTGAGGCACTGCTTTTGCTCTCACCGCTGCACCTTGTTCAGACCTGTGTTGATACCACTCATCACATTGTAAGGCAGACATTTGTTTATGTATCTTTCTTCCCACTAGACTGTGGGCTCTCTCCAAGTTGAAAGAATGTCTTATTCCCTAGAAGGTCCACAAGAAATATTTCTTGAAAGAACCCATGCTTGGGAATATGCTCATTGCGGGTTGCCTTTCTTTTGAGGCCTGAATTATTTGTCAGGTAAATAGCGTATCACTACTGTAGGTGTTTGGCTAGTTTGTAAAGAAAATTTTGACAAAATTTTCTCAAATGTGCCTTATAATTTGCTCCCTTTCTACTCATCCTGTTTATTTATTTATTTTGAAATAAGAGACAGGGTCTCATTCTGTCTCCCAGGCTGGAGTGCAGTGGCGTTTATGGAACAGGTTTACAATTGTGAATATGTAGCTCTTCCAACTCAGAATGTTCCTTCAGGTACCTTAGGGCCATTTCTTTGAAATGTTATCAGAAGGGATGGGACCTTTGTCTTCCAGTCTGTGTAGGAGGATAGAATCCTAATTTACTAATTGCCAGGGAACATTGTGTTTACACCGACCAACCCTTTGTAAATTTTCTCTTCTCTGACACTACCTGTGGCCGGCTCCCTGCCGTTCCCTTACTCTCTTTTTAAATGGCCAGTCACCTCTACACAAACCAGAATTGAACTCAGCTCTTTACCCTACTGTCAGTGGTTTACTGAATAAGATCTGTTTTCACTGCTTTAACAAATGTCTGGCTGTGTTTATCTTCGACAGCAGTCAGAATGGTAACTTTTTTGTTTTTACTTTGGAGCTTTTACTTTGAGACTAAGAGGCAAAAATAGATATCTTTGGGCTTAGAATATAAAAATGGTAGGCTCATGAAGGTGAAAACTACTATTTGAAAGCACTCAGCTTGTTGATTGAGAGGAAAATCAGGTGCAGGAAATAATCTCTAAATATTTTCCCCATGCCTGGCAGCAGGCTTTTTGTCATGTAGTCAGATGTCTTTGATTCAGCTGGAAGAAAAGTCATCATCCTAGCTAAAGGTCAAACTTTTTGAGTAGGGCTGAGCAGCTCTAAAACATGTAAAGGAACAGGTTTAAAAGCCCTAGGCTAGAAAATACACTGGCAGCTTGTTTCACAGACAGCTCCATTCAACAGTATTATTCTGTGGTATGTTACTTTCACCCACTTTCGTACCAGAGAAAGCAAGGTAATTTTAGAGTGGAAATAAAAGACACATGAAAGAATTGGAGTCAACAGAAGTTCATTAAATCCAGGTTCTATATATTAGTGTTCAGTGTGCAAGTTGCTCTTACAGTTTCAGGAATTATAATTGCCCATTTCACAGAGATGCCATTCCCTGGGAGGAAATTAAAATTAACATGGTAAATTCAGTTTTATCAACCAGTTCACCTTTATACTATAAACTGGCTGGAATATGCAGTATTACAATTTGATTTAAATTTGATCCAGCTCTTTGAATCCAAGTTCTGGTATTTAGTGTCAACAATACAGTATGTTAAATCCACACATTGGGCTGGATAAGTCCTGCTCAGGCTGGAAACTAAACCAGCTTCACTTGATAAGAGCTCTTGTGAGGCCAATCAGTGCAAAGTCAGCCAGTGATAATTATTGTCTTTAAGGGAATCCACATGGTTGGGGTACAGTGAACCTAGGTTGGAACCTTCATTTGAGAATTGGGAAAGTCACTGGAATCAAAAGTCTAGTTCAAGTTCCTGCACTGCCTTTTAGTCAGTGCGTAACTTTGAGAAAGTTGTTTTACTTTTCTAAGCCTCATTTTTCTAATCTTTAATGTCTAAAGTCCCTTTCAGCTTTAGAATTGTCTTAGTTATCTTAGCCTTATGGTAAAAGATTCCAGTATAATCTAAGAATTTGGCCAAACGGTGTTTCTGTTGTTGTTTGTTTGTTTTTGTTTGAGACAGAGTCTCCCTCTGTCACCCAGACTGGAGTGCAGTGACCCAATCTTGACTCACTGCAACCTCCACCTGCCAGGATCAGGTGACTTTTGTACCTCAGACTCCCGAGTAGCTGGGACCACAGGCGTGTGCCACCACACTTGGCTAATTTTTGTATTTTTTGGTAGAGACAGGTTTTACTATGTTGGCCAGGTTGGTCCTAAACTCCTGACCTCAAGTTATCCTACCTGCCTTGGCCTCCCATAGTGTTGTTATTACAAGCATGAGCCACTGCACCTGGCCGAAAAAGGTTTATTAGTACATGTGATTTTATAACACCAGGCATATGTTATTATATCCCCTTAAATCACTGTGTCTAGGTTATGCTGTTTCTAGATTATACAATCCATTGTTGAATTTTGTTACCCAAATACTTTTTTTTGATACCAAACCTTGGTTTGTGGTCCAGGCTGCAGTGCAGTGGCATGATCACAGTTCACTACAGCCTTGACCTCTTGGCTCAATCAGTCTTCTCATCTCAGCCTTCTATGTGACTGGGACTACAGGTGCACCCTACCATGCCCAGCTAATTTTTTTAGACACGGGGTTTCACCATTTTGCCCAGGCTGGTCTTGAACTCCTGGACTCAAGCAATCTACCCATCTCAGCCTCTCAAAGTGCTGATTACAGGCATAAGCCACTGTACCCAGCACACTTTTTGTTACTAAATTTTACGTGGCATATGGCAGTGAGAACAGAAATGCCAGTTTCTGCTTGATTTGGTATTGGGGCTTCTGATGGGGAAAAAAATGGAAATAAGGAAGTGAGAAGACTTCAGTGTAAGTTTAGCTTGTCACTTCTCAGGAATCTTATGCATGTCTTTTGTTACCTAGAGTCTTTTGCAAATGAATAAAATGATTGGTGTTAGGATCTTGATTGATGATATCAAAATATGTTAATATCACACTTTTAATTGAAAATGTGATAAATTATTGTGGTATAAAATGCAAAAGATATGAAAGAATATAGTAGTAAAAAGTAAATCAATATTTTTCATCCAGTCCCATTTAGCAAAGGAAACTCTTGTCAGTTTTTGTGAATCCTTTCTAGAACTTTTCTCTGTGTCTATATAAGCACATTTATTCCTTACTTTCTTTCCATAAGTAAGACGGTGTAATATAGACAGCACAGACAGATATACCTTCGTCTTTTTTAATGACTGCATATCATTCCATCCTAGGTGAACTATGATGTATTTAGCATTTAGCGTGTTTCTCTCTTTTGCTGTTACCATAAGGCTGGAGTACACATCTTGTTAACCTTGCACATGTTTTTGTATACATGTGGGAATAAATCTATAGGATAAATTCCTCAAAGTGGAATTGTTGGTCCTGAAAATAATTGCGTTTAAACTTTTTTTTTTTTTGAGACGGAGTTTCGCTCTTGTTACCCAGGCTGGAGTGCAATGGCGCGATCTCGGCTCACCGCAACCTCTGCCTCCTGGGTTTAGGCAATTCTCCTGCCTCAGCCTCCTGAGTAGCTGGGACTACAGGCACGCACCACCATGCCCAGCTAATTTTTTGTATTTTTAGTAGAGACGGGGTTTCACCATGTTGACCAGGATGGTCTCGATCTCTTGACCTCGTGATCCACCCGCCTCGGCCTCCCAAAGTGCTGGGATTACAGGCTTGAGCCACCGCGCCCGGCCGTGTTTAAACTTTTGATATATATTAGTGGATAGAGTTTTAAATCCTCAATATACCTCCAGTGAAAACTAAAACATAGATATATTTTGACTTACAAATCAAATAAATATTTAAACTGTGTTAGCTTCATAAAATAAGGCTCC